ACGCTCTCATCCCACGGAGCCATCTAGTTTTATTTGCGATCTGTATGCAAACATTAGCATGAGCACAACTTCTTGTAAGCTGTACAACAATCACTGATGAAATGGTACAAAAGCAACGCACTGCTAACAAAATATATAACTGAAAGATTAACCGCTAGTTCCGCGTCCGAATGTCCGAGCATAGTTAGTCCGAGCATAGTTAGTCCGAGCATAGTTAGTCCGAGCGTAGATAGTCCGAGCGTAGATATTCCGAGCGTAGATAGTCCGAGCGTAGATAGTCCGAGCGTAGATATTCCGAGCGTAGATAGTCCGAGCATAGTTAGTCCGAGCGTAGATAGTCCGAGCGTAGATAGTCCGAGCATAGTTAGTCAGAGCGTAGATAGTCCGAGCGTAGATAGTCCGAGCATAGTTAGTCAGAGCGTAGATAGTCCGAGCATAGTTAGTCCGAGCATAGTTAGTCCGAGCGTAGATAGTCCGAGCATAGTTAGTCCGAGCATAGTTAGTCCGAGCGTAGATAGTCCGAGCATAGTTAGTCCGAGCATAGTTAGTCCGAGCGTAGATAGTCCGAGCATAGATAGTCCGAGCGTATAGATAGTCCGAGCATAGATAGTCCGAGCATAGATAGTCCGAGCATAGATAGTCCGAGCATAGATAGTCCGAGCATAGATAGTCCGAGGCGGTCCCGCAGGTCTCTCCCATAGACAAGTCTCTCCAGAGGATACGATGTAAGCTAGCCACGTTCACCCAGGCTTGATTTCTTCTTTGATCATTTTTTTGCTTTAGTTTCCTCTTCTCTTCCTCACTGTTGTGTCATTTTGCTGTGTCTGCAGTTACAGCAAGAAGAGTTATAGCCAATTCTGCTAACATGCTACAGTGTTTAGCAGCGCTGTAGAGGCTAGAGCGTCACGCTAAGTCTCTACTCAGCACTTTTATACGGCCTGAATTATTACACAGCTGAATCAATGAGCTCAAGTTATCAATGAAATTACGGATTATAATACAACTTGTATGTAGTAATGAGCCTTTTATGAACTCATTAAAAAAAAGAATCCGGTATAGTATCTTTAACAATTGTCCAGAAATGTCCAGGAATGACTTAAATGCTTGTCCTGTTTGCAAATCGTGTTTTAAAACGTACAATAAAATGTACTCAATTCAAGACAAAAACAACTTGATCCAAAACAATGAGACCTACGGCTGCGTGTGTAAACTTTCAAGCACATCTGTGTATTTATTTCATGGATCTGCTTCTCTTCTATCTAGTGTACATCCCGCTAAGCCAAATCAAATCCGCACTGTACATTTATATGGCTCCTTCTTCCCATCCTTTCAATTCTTAACCTTCCCTTTCATCTCGTACACACATCCATTCCCACACACAGCACTATACAAGGAGACGGAACACGGCAGCGCCAAGGTTACGTAAAGGTAACTATTCCAATTAGCGGGCTGCGGCAACGAGTCGTGCTTTTACACAGCGGCTCCCGTCAAGTCAACCGCCTCCAGCTCAGCGTGAAAAAAAACGCTGTCAATGGATGCACGGCTTTCATCCAGCTCCATGTGACACTTAGTTAAAGACTCCTGCGCCACCATCCTGAGGCTTTTGAGCTGCCACCTCGCCCACGCTGGCAGGAGTCAAAGTTTCTAGAACAATATGGATCCGTGACATCACTGGTTGCTGCATTTCCCCAAACTTTGAGAGGATTTTGTTCTCCAATTCTCTACATCGTTTGCTTTGGCGCATCTGTATTTTGTTTTGCAACCGACAGTATAGAGCGGTTCTCGCCGATGTCCCGATGGGAGTCTGGGATAAAACTCAGCTACTCAGTTTTAGTGGAGATAAATTGGACCAGGGAGGGAGGTTTGAGAGACCTGCTGACAGTCCCATTCAAGATGCCGTGTGAATGTATTTTTACACGGTTGTATTGTTCTTCACTTTTGAGGTACAATTGTTTATTTCTTTGGAAAGGTGAACGCCATGAGATTGGTGTAATTTTGATTTATTTCTTTTTCCAGTTAGTGGTGTGAGATTAGAATGTATGTCGTTCAGAGCTATTGAAGCCAGGGGCCAACTGTGGCTCAGCGTGAAGAGCATTGGCCTTTGAGCCTCAAGGTCGTGTGTTCGAGGCCACCACAAGACCTTCTCCCACTGATCTCTGCTGTCGTGTCCATGGGCAAGACACTTAACGTCTGGGAACACTAGGCTCCACAGTGGGGCGGCTGCGGCTGTAAAGTGCCAAACTGCCATTTTGTCCTTAGGCAAGACACTTCCCCCACATTTGAATGAGTGTAATGTGTGTGTGAACGGTTGGTGGTGGTGGGAGGGGCTGATGGCACAGACTGGTTGCCTCGCTTCTGTCAGTTTGCCCCAGGGCAACCGTGGCTTGAGTGAATGAAGTGTCCAAAAAAACGCTATATAAAACAGATGCATTATTGTTAGTATTACAGGTGAACATCTGAAAATGAGCTTTATTCATTTAATATCCCCCAAAAATGTATTTTGTGTATTTCAATTTAAAATGTGAAACCAATATACCATATGAACTCATGAATATGCCATGAGAGAGGATCACTCAACCAATCAGCTCTCAGCCCGTCCGTCCGTTCGTCCGTTTTCTTCCGCTTCATCCGTTGCCGGTTGCGGGGGCAGCAGTCAAAGCAGAGACTTCCCTATCCACACACACTTCCTCCAGCTCGTACGGGGGGACCCCAAGGCATTCCCAGGCCAGCTGAGTCCTTGGTCTTCCCCGGGGCCTCCTCCCGGTGGGACGTGCCCGGAACACCTCCCCAGGGAGACGTCCAGGAGGCATCCGGAACAGATGCCGAGCCACCTCAACTGGTTCCTCTCGACGTGGAGAAGCAGCGGCTCTACTCCGAGCTCCTCCCGTGTGACTGAGCTCCTCACCCTATCTCTAAGGGAGCGCCCAGCCACTCTGCGGAGGAAGCTCATTTCGACCGCTTGTATCCGCGGTCTTGTTCTTTCGGTCATTACCCAAAGCTCATGACCATAGGTGAGGGAGGGAACGAAGATTGACCGGTAAATCGAGAGCTTTGCCTTTCGGCTCAGCTCCCTCTTCACCACAACGGTCCGATACAGCGACCGCATCACTGCGCACGCTGCACTGATCCGCCTGTCAATCTCACGCTCCATCCTCCCCTCACTCGTGAACAAGACCCCGAGATACTTGAACTCCTCCACTTGAGGAAGGACCTCTCCACCCACCCGGAGAGGGCAAGGCAGCTTAGCCAAAAGCACCAAATATGACTCACAGGCTCTTACGAGAAAGATTAAATGTTTTGTAATAAAAACAAGACTGTATGTAGACAAAATGTGACTTTTAAAATGTGCATTCTGTCAGGATACAAACCATTTCTAAATATAGGTACCCCAGCTTGCAGACTCCCTCCATCAGAAAAGACACTACTGTAAAAACATTGTGCCTTGTTACATAAAAAAGACGTCTTCATTCATTTCTAACTTTGTTACGCTCTCACAGAGACTTTTGGCGTCATCACATTTCCAAGATGTAATTTTATGTTAAATCTACGCACTCTTTGCTCCTATTAGTGACAGAGACGAGACATTTTTCAGCTTGGAATCAAATCTGTTTTGAGACATTACCTGTAATTAAAATATGCGATTGAAGAAAGCTCATACATATTTATACTAGTACTTTTCCCACCACTTTTAATTGAAATTCTGGTTATATATTTATGTTTGTAGATCTGCATGATAAATGATATTCTGGGCTCTCTTTTCCCTTTGCTTTAGCGTAACAGCTGCGGAGGTGGAACTCAGCTGCACCAGCCTATTACAGACTCTAATGTGTTTAGTTCAAGGCACAACACTTTGCAAAGCACAAGCTCTTTCTTGCACTCAATAAAACAGATGTGGAGAAATGTAGAATCGCAAATGTAATTTTTGTTGGAAATGATAATAAAGCTGAGGTTATGAGATTGCTCTAGGACAACAGCCCAGCACTGAGCTAATATTGTTGGGCCTGATTGGGTGGCGTTTTTATTTGCCTGTGACACAGACTAAATGGAAAATTGTTCAATTACAATCAGAGCAAAAAAGATCACAGTAAGTTATTGCTTGGATTAATTGTTTTGGACTTTGTGATGTTGTGACTCAGTGGAACAAGGGAAATCACACTGCACTGTAATCAGCTTTAAGCCATAAATCTGTGAACAAAAAAAATGTATTCGCAATAAGTGGTTGAACTAATTGTTTGTCGCTCAGGTTCAAATAGTTCAATGTCCGTGTCCTTTTTAGGGCATCGATCAGTCACTAATACATATTGTGGTGTTTCGTTTTATCCAATTATGGGTTTCCTCTATTTTTGCCTTTTATTTTATGGTTTCTGTTCCCAGTTTTATTACTGTGCCAAAATCTAAAATATATGAGCTGGTTGGGAACAAAATTATCACAGTGGCATAAACAATTTGAGTTTGTATCTGTTTGTTAAAAATCACTGTATATAACATGAGGATATCATGTAGTTTTTCATTCAATCACAACTAGGCCAAATATCAATAAGAGATGTATTGGAAGACTGTTTGTTAAAAAAATAAAAGATGATTAAGTAACTCTAACTTCTAATTACATATTTGTTAACATTTCAGATACAATTATATGGTTGCTTTCCTGAGACAATATGCTTTAAAATTAAGTTTAATGCAGTATATACCATAGTAGCCCCTTACGATCAATGCTACAAGTTACTGCGATAAAGATAAATTAAAATCATTCCAAGGGCCACTAACATTGGTCACACCGGCCGGATTTGGCCCACGGGCCTGAGTTTGGTATGCCTGTGTTAGACAGATTACTTGTGAGTAAGTGAATGTGACTGAGTGAATATGAGTTTGGTTGGGTTGGGGTTGGATGGATCAAGGCTTTTTATTTTACCTGTTTGCTTTTTGTTTTGTTAACAAGAAATTAAGAAAAAGAAAGAAAAAAACAGTCCTAGTAGTTCATTGTGGTGTTTTTCCTGCAGCAAACTGTATCCAGCGCATGAGCCGTACGCCGCCTCTGGACGAGCTGCAGCCCCCGCCGTACCAGGACGAGAATGGCTCCCCGCGCATGTCCTGCACCATGTCTGACTTGGGGGACGCCAAATGTGACATGTCCCAGACCAGTGGCAGCCCTCACATGTCCTTCAGTAAGTGTCCCAGCGAGGGCAGCGACGGCCCGGACACTGAGAGTTACCTGAACAAGGGCTACGAGGAGGATGTGCCCAGCGACAGCACCGCGGTGCTCAGTCCAGAGGTACGTCACTCTCATGGACCGGAACAAGTCCATTCAATTCATTTTACTGCATCGCCCTAAATCACAGCAGTGGTTTTCTCTGCCAACATAGAGCAGAGAAACAAACAGTTCAAACGCAAGAAATTAAACAAAAAGCACAATGGTCTTGGTCCATAAGAGGCTGGATCAATGTCCGTAAGTGTTGATAAATGTCCAGAAATGTTGTTGAACGTCGAGTGTCCTGGATCAGACGTCGTAAATGGTTTATACCAGGGGTCTCAAACTTTGAGGTCTGACATCTGAATCCAATATTGTATTCAGGTCCAAATATATTGATAGATAGATAAATAGTTAGATACTTTATTGATCCCCACAGGAGAAATTCAGGTATCCAATAACAGCAGAAACACATGCATCCATAAAAACAAAACAAATACATAGATATTTTCTATAAATAGCTAACAATAGAACTAAAATGCAACAGCAAATAGGCAAAATAATATTTTGACTTTGCAACCAATATAAATGTGCTCCTTCTACATTTTTTGTGAATATAATTGTGACATTCGGTAACAATCACTATAATAGCTGTTGTATTATTTTGTGTCTTTAACCCTTCTAGCGCCAACGTATCATGATAGTTACATACAGTGCCTTGCGAAAGTATTCGGCCCCCTTGAACCTTTCAACATTTCGCCACATTTCAGGTTTCAAACATAAAGATATAAAAATTACATTTTTGTCAAGAATCAACAACAAGTGGGACACAATCGTGAAGTGGAACAAAATGTATTGGATAATTTAAACGTTTTTAACAAATAAATAACTGAAAAGTGGGGCGTGCAATATTATTCGGCCCCCTTGCGCTAATACTTTGTAGCGCCACCTTTTGCTGCAATTACAGCTGCAAGTCGCTTGGGGTATGTCTCCATCAGTTTTGCACATCGAGAGACTGGAATTCTCGCCCATTCTTCCTTGCAAAACAGCTCGAGCTCAGTGAGGTTGGATGGAGAGCGTTTGTGAACAGCAGTCTTCAGCTCTTTCCACAGATTCTCGATTGGATTCAGGTCTGGACTTTGACTTGGCCATTCTAACACCTGGATACGTCTATTTGTGAACCATTCCATTGTATATTTGGCTTTATGTTTTGGATCATTGTCCTGTTGGAAGATAAATCTCCGTCCCAGTCTCAGGTCTTTTGCAGACTCCAACAGGTTTTTTTTCCAGAATGGTCCTGTATTTGGCTCCATCCATCTTCCCATCAATTTTAGCCATCTTCCCTGTCCCTGCTGAAGAAAAGCAGGCCCAAAGCATGATGCTGCCACCCCCATGTTTGACAGTGTGGATGGTGTGTTCAGGGTGATGAGCTGTGTTGCTTTTACGCCAAACATATCGTTTTGCATTGTGGCCAAAAAGTTTGATTTTGGTTTCATCTGACCAGAGCACCTTCTTCCACATGTTTGGTGTGTCTCCCAGGTGGCTTGTGGCAAACTTTAAACGAGACTTTTTATGGATATCTTTGAGAAATGGCTTTCTTCTTGCCACTCTTCCATAAAGGCCAGATTTGTGCAGTGCACGACTGATTGTTGTCCTATGGACAGACTCTCCCACCTCAGCTGTAGTTATCTGCAGTTCATCCAGAGTGATCATGGGCCTCTTGTCTGCATCTCTGATCAGTCTTCTCCTTGTTTGAGATGAAAGTTTGGAGGGACGGCCGGGTCTTGGTAGATTTGCAGTGGTCTGATACTCCTTCCATTTCAATATAATTGCTTGCACAGTGCTCCTTGAGATGTTTAAAGCTTGGGAAATCTTTTTGTATCCAAATCCAGCTTTAAACTTCTCCACAACAGTATCTTGGACCTGCCTGGTGTGTTCCTTTGTCTTCATGGTTCTCTCTGCGCTTTAAACAGAACCCTGAGACTATCAAAGAGCAGGTGCATTTATACGGAGACTTGATTACACACAGGTGCATTCTATTTATCATCATCAGTCATTTAGGACAACATTGGATCATTCAAAGATCCTCACTGAACTTCTGGACTGAGTTTGCTGCACTGAAAGTAAAGGGGCCGAATAATATTGCACGCCCCACTTTTCAGTTTTTCATCTGTTAAAAAAGTTTAAATTATCCAATACATTTTGTTCCACTTCACGATTGTGTCCCACTTGCTGTTGATTCATGACAAAAAATTAAAATTTTATATCTTTATGTTTGAAGCCTGAAATGTGGCGAAATGTTGAAAGGTTCAAGGGGGCCGAATATTTTCGCAAGGCACTGTAAGCTCCTACACCCAGGACACTGGATCTAATCTACACAGAGACATGGCTTCCCACAAATGTCTCCCCACATTTTTTTAAAACATATTTTTCTTGTATGTAATTACAGGGTGTCACCTTTTGTCTATTACACTAGACATTTCTCAAAAAACTCTGGGGCCTGAGAGTCCAGTTTTCTTGTTCAGATCTCCACAGACATTTCATTTGTCTAAACAACAGTTTGCCATTTATAGTATTGCGTCTGTGTCTGTGTAGAACTTGTCGGGCCGAGGTTCAGCCGCGCAGCTCCTTAAAGGCTACGAGCCGGATCCTATGGCCAAATACGGCACGCTTGATGTTGTGTTTGACTATGACTCCGAAGACCAGCAGCTGGGGGTCACCATAATGGCCGCCACTGACCTGCCCCCAGTGAGGCGCACCGGGAACCTCTCCTGGCAGGTGCATCTGGTGCTGCTGCCCACCAAGAAGCAAAGGGCCAAGACGGGCGTCCAGAGAGGGCCCTGTCCCATCTTCACCGAGACCTTTTACTTCAGCCACGTGGAGTCGGAGATGATCGGAAACTACGCCCTGCGCTTCAGGCTCTACAGCATGAGGCGCATGAAGAAGGAGAAGGTTCTGGGAGAGAAGGTTTTTTACCTCACCAAACTCTGTCTACAGGGGAAGATGTCCGTGCCCGTCATACTGGACCCCTGCTGCACACTGCCGGTGAGACCACTGCTCTGACCAGCATGTGGGTTAGAGGCAAGATGTTAGAGGTTAGAGGCAAATGTTTGAACTAGGGCCGGTGTAACGCCGAGATACACTGTCTTGAAGAGATGCACTGCCTCAGCTGTTTATGATGTAATGCAAACCTGCGCATGCGCGTCTCACGGCAACCGAAGCATACCGTGAATTGCTTTAAAAGTTGAAATACGAACGAATTAAGACACGAATGTCACTTTTAATGCAATTTGAGGCGAGATGTTGATGGTTCCGTTTTGTCACATGTGGGTTTTAAGAGTCAAAGTTTCGTGCAAAGTTTAGTTTAAGCAGTCAACTGCGCCTGTGAAACCACAAAGCTAATGTTTTCATAGCAGTCCGCGGCTGCTGACGTAGGCTGATGACGCGTCCTGTGGCCACTCTACACTCTTACAACTGGTCTGTCGGGTTGATAATGGAAATAATAAATTTCATTCAATACATGTATCGTACTGTATTTAATATGATTAACAATAGTGTGTTCAAACAAAATATTTAATTAGATTGATTTTTTTCCCCATTTTCCATTATCCACCCGACAGACCAGTGTAGGACGCGTCATCAGCCTACGTCAGCAGCCGCGGACTGCTATGAAAATATTAGCTTTGTGGTTTCACAGGCGCAGTTCACTGCTTAAACTAAACTTTGCACAAAACTTTGACTCTTAAAACCCACATGTGACAAAACGGAACCATCAACATCTTGCCTCAAATTGCATTAAAAGTGACATTCGTGTCTTAATTCGTTCGTATTTCAACTTTTAAAGCAATTCACGGTCCGCCATCTTGGTTTGCTTCGGTTGCCGTGAGACGCGCATGCGCAGGTTTGCATTACATCATAAACAGCTGAGGCAGTGCATCTCTTCAAGACAGTGTATCTCGGCGTTACACCGGGTCTTCAAAAAATTGAATTAATCAGAGGCTTAGTAATTAATTAATCAAAATGATTCTCATTTTAATTGCATATAAATATTTCACCACTTATTATTTATTACATTGTATTTTAGTACACCATTGAGTAATGGTTGAATACAGATGCTTAAGCAAAAGAAAAACGCATACAAAATGGATCACCAAGTCCGTTGACATAGCCAGTGAGCAGGTAGCGCTAGTTATTTGTGATTTTGGCAAAAATTGAGAAGGTATTAAAATATTTTTTGGCTTATTACTTTGGTGTAAATTGGGTAGAAATGTGGTGAAAGTACATTTGAAAGGTGCAATCTTTTTCTCTTTTCCTGGAATAGAACTCAGGCATTAGCCTCTTATGTAAAATGGGTAAAAAATGTCAAATGTATTATTACCTATCCTTGTAACACAAAGTTTTATTCGTTCGATGGCAACAATTTTTGCTTTAGCACGCTGTTGTCTTTTCAGTATTATATAATACAAACAACCGGACAAAACTAAAATCCTGGCTAATTAGGAAGTGTATGTTTGGATAGATTTCTCAAGGCAGCAGCTTGAGCTTTCTAAAATATGGTGTGATATTGTTTTCTCATCGTACACTCCCTGAGCTACAAACACAGGTGATTTTTCTGAATGTCTACTAAAACATTTTCCAGGGCGGTGAATCACAAGTGAGCCTTTCAGACATGACATGCAGTGAAAGCGCATCATCATTCCAGTCCGTCAGCCAAACCTCAGCACCGGAGATCCTTGTGGGCCTGGTGTACAACGCCACAACAGGACGGCTATCGGTGGAGGTCATCAAAGGCATCCACTTCAAAAACCTGGCTGCCAACAAGGGACCCAGTAAGTACCGGGAGTGGGCGTTTAGTGGGAAGTGCAGAACCTTTTATTTGTGTTTTTGTTTGAATATGATTCTGATGCTAATGATTTAAACCACAATCTTATTACGTTTGATGACCTCTTTTCTTACATTAAAAAATACAACTTATTTATTATGTACAATTTATTATAATATCTTTTAAAAAATGGCAGATCTTCCAGCATGCAAAATTTGACTGTTTTAGGAGATTGGAGATGGAGTCTTTACCTTGGCCTGTCACGATTACTACTATATCGACTCATCGTTCAGTAACTAAAAGATAAGACTATATCATAGCTCTCAGTATCTGTTGTCAATGATTTTTGCTATTATCTATCTCAAACAGTCTGTTTTTAACTGTAGATGGTTAAATATAATGCAATTCTGATAGGGTTAGGACTAGCGGTGTGACAATATATTTATTTTTCGATATATCGCGATACTTTCTCCCGCGATTCGATTATCGATATGCATTTGCCAAGTATCAATATCGATTTAAAAAAAATAAAAAATCAATAATCGTCATATTGTGATAAAATCAATCGTAATATCGTTATCGTGAGCTTTGTATCGTGTATCGTATCGTATCGTGAGGTACCCTTTGGTTCCCACCCCTAGTTAGGACTAGGGTTAGGGTTAGAATTTTCACATTATTTTAATGAAATAAATATATTTTATATTTTTTTATTCTTCGGTCAACAATTACAAAAATAACAACAAAGAAACAATTTCACATCCATTACTCAACAAATGTTTTTGACCAAAAGGTGAAGTTTTACAAAAACAAGGTATTTCAAGATCACCATCAGGCTTCTAACTCTATGTTTCACCAACTACATTATTGCATTAAAAAATCACATTTTGCTGGGATTGCCCTACTTTAATGTACAATACACCTTAGCATCAGTGGCATTATGTTTTTCCATTATATGTTTTTTAAAAGCAATTATCGTCATCATGATGAGTTCCATGGTGACAGGCCGAGTCTTTCCTTCACTGTAAACCCTTACTTCAATCAGATATCAAAGTTATTTTAAATAGATTTTTCCCAGTAAGTGAATATTACTCATTTATTGTTAGTTTACTGTATTTAAAGCTTGGCGATATCACTCAGGGTTTTCTTTGAATTGAACTCACTCTGACGTGTAGAGTGTTAAATTAGACAGGTGCGGAATGGGGTAAGGCAGCACGGTGGCTGAGTGGGTAGCACCTTAACCTCTCAACTTCAAGATTGTGAGTTCAACTCCTGGTCGGAGCAAAATTTAAACTTTATTGCAATCGCTTGAGTTACTTGGTAATATCAAGTAAAGTATGTACGCGAGTAATTCAAGTGAAGTTATTATGCAATTTATTTCCAAGGTTTTTTCAAGTAAACTTTAGTTGTTAGGGTTTACAGTGTTCTGTTCGCTCTGTGGGTGGATGCTGTCCCTGCCTGAGTGTGTTCCAGGGTGGCCTCCCCCTGAGTGTGTTCCAGGGTGGCCTCTCCCTGTAGGGTGGCCTCCCCCTGAGTGTGTTCCAGGGTGGCCTCCCCCTGAGTGTGTTCCAGGGTGGCCTCTCCCTGAGTGTGTTCCAGGGTGGCCTCTCCCTGAGTGTGTTCCAGGGTGGCCTCTCCCTGAGTGTGTTCCAGGGTGGCCTCTCCCTGAGTGTGTTCCAGGGTGGCCTCTCCCTGAGTGTGTTCTAGGGTGGCCTCCCCCTGAGTAGGGTGGCCTCTCCCTGAGTGTGTTCCAGGGTGGCCTCCCCCTGAGTGTGTTCTAGGGTGGCCTCCTCCTGAGTGTGTTCCAGGGTGGCCTCCCCCTGAGTGTGTTCCAGGGTGGCCTCTCCCTGTAGGGTGGCCTCCCCCTGAGTGTGTTCCAGGGTGGCCTCCCCCTGAGTGTGTTCCAGGGTGGCCTCTCCCTGAGTGTGTTCCAGGGTGGCCTCTCCCTGAGTGTGTTCCAGGGTGGCCTCTCCCTGAGTGTGTTCCAGGGTGGCCTCTCCCTGAGTGTGTTCCAGGGTGGCCTCTCCCTGAGTGTGTTCTAGGGTGGCCTCCCCCTGAGTAGGGTGGCCTCTCCCTGAGTGTGTTCCAGGGTGGCCTCCCCCTGAGTGTGTTCTAGGGTGGCCTCCTCCTGAGTGTGTTCCAGGGTGGCCTCCCCCTGAGTGTGTTCTAGGGTGGCCTCCCCCTGAGTGTGTTCCAGGGTGGCCTCCCCCTGAGTGTGTTCCAGGGTCTCCTCCTCCTGAGTGTGTTCCAGGGTGGCCTCTCCCTGAGTGTGTTCCAGGGTCGTCCCGTTCAGCTCCTGTTGAACTGTGTGTTTTGACCTGTGCTCCTCTATCTCCTCACCTTTTGAATTGTGTGTGTGATTGTCTCCTCTACTGCCTCCTTTTGACATCTTGGTCCGTTGTTTTTCTTACTGCTGTCCAACCCTTGTTGTCAGATGGGCTGTTCTGTTGTCTAAAACACTTGATAGGTGGACAGGTTTATATAATCAGAGGTAAGTATGAACTGTCCGTTCACTCTAAAAGTGTTACTTTAGTCTTCATGGATGCAGAGTACAAGCACAAGTAAAATAAATCAGATAAATTAATGTCTTGTCTTGAAAAAATACAGAATCATGTGGAAGGTGTTTGATTGCAAAGTCTGATGGCAATTACCTCATGACTAATACATTGGGAATTTGTCAAGTTTTTCAACTGATTTTCCAGTATTCAAATAGCACCACAAAATGGAAGTTCTGCTTTTTGATTTGAAAAATAATCCTTTACAATGTTCTCTGTGCATGGCAGTTAATATGATCTCCATCAATATTTCAACGTGGAAGTATAGATAGATTGATGATAGATCATTTTTTATTATAGTGTCTTCCATACAAGGATGCCCAGCCCACATGGTCTTATGAGACACCATTAACACAAATACAGAGACACAGCCCGACATAATCAGTGCTTCTTCCTAAATTGATCCGATGTTTTAGGCATTTCCCAAACATGATGAATCTACATGTGTAACTTAGAAAATTAGAATATCGTTCAAAAATCCATTTTACTTCTGTAATTCAACTGTGAAACTCATAAATGACTCATTGCACACAAAGTGAGCAATGATCAAGCCTTTTTTGGTTATAATGGTGATTGTGGCGCACAGCTTGTGAAAAAACCTCTAAGAACATTTGAATATTTTGAAAATGTACCGTAGGCCGTACAAATTATAGCAAATGTTGAATCACAGAAACACTTTTAAACTTTTGAAGATGATTAAAAATGCTTTGATTGACTTGAAAAGGTAGAAAAGAGCTACAGTATATAAATGTGACATCAAGTAATATTGAAATGCTATAATAATTGTATCTTTCCAACTTGTAAATACTTGTAAATACTCCATCCATGAAGGTATTTCACGTCTTGTGCATGCATCTCCCCTCCACTGCTTGCATCGTGCCCTTGTGCTATTCCCAATAACACCACACTTACTGTACACATTCCCTGCAGAACCGGCTATTTTCAGTCTGCTTCGCTCGGAGACAAATGACCAGCTCAGTGAGGCTGTTGTTGTCGACTGGCTGCTCATTTAGTCTCCACACTTTAGCATGTTTCTAGTGCGCTCAGGTGCAACTTCAACCTATTCGCGACGTGATCCTTTCCATAGTTACGGATCCTTTACATCTTGACATCTTACTTTACCAGTGAAATTAGCTCGACTTGGTGAGTTATATCCAATCTTGAAATTTTAATATCCCTGAACTACTGTTATCAGTTAAAGAAGTACTCGAAAAGAGCATGATTTATTAATGCATTTTGACAGATTAGGGCCCTTTAATGATGACTTTAAAATCTTACATATTGCTACTTTAAAACCAGCTAACAAACTTACTTCAGATGACAAAATAGGTCAAATCCATGGGACAATAGGATTAAATATTTGGAAATTGCGTATGGAAATGATCACTTTGCGAACAGTCTTTATGTAATTTATAAAAGAATGTACATTATTGACCATATGATCCTGTTCTATCATGTGTTTTTTCACAAGTAATATATTTCAAATAGTCCCTGCACAACAAGTTATATTAGCTGGAGGAGAATAGTTCAACCAATTGTTATCGTCCAAACAGCATGGGTGGGTCTAATCGACCTTGGCACTTGACATATTTCCCTCTCTCTCTCGCCACGATTTGAAAAGTATCTGACATTCACTTTAATGAAAAAACTGCACACAAATGAGTACAGCGTTCCATGTTTTGTCAGCGTCTACAAATACTCACCGTCTTTATCGATCGGCTTTCCCATACACGGCGCAATCTCCATTTTGCCGACCTTTGTTGAACATCTGTTAATATCAAATCAACTGTTGTGCAAAATCCTTATGGAGGCCTTCATTGACTTTGTGCGGCACAGGGAGGAAGAAGAGTGCGGAAAGCGGCAGTGCGATTTCAAAGGCGCTTTTCGATCATTTGAAAACAGTGCCGATCCCTCCAGTCGACTTAATCATCAGTCACAGCCCCTCTCAATCACCAACAATAGCCGAGAGCCATGCATTGCCGCCGCTGACCACTTAAGACACCCACTGCTCCGCACAGCCCATTCAGCAGCAGTCAAAAAAGAAATCAAGGCTATTTTTTCCTCTGTGCTTTTATGTCAAAGAGAGCAACTAAATGTATGATTCAAGGCGGCGGGCGAGGCGTTGGAAGGCAGCTGGCACTCGACGCCATGAAAGACCCAGCAATTCATTGGGTACCCTCCTCTCAGACAGGAACATAATATGCAGCCGTATTGTGGAGTGTGGTTGTAGACGAGGGCGAAACACTCCCAAAGAGCCATTGTGACTGCCAGTCTTGCCTCCTTTACTTTCAGCTGGATGTGGGGCTTCGTTTTGCGATTCCTGTGTGGAAATGGGCTGTGAATAAGAACAGTGTGAATGCTAAATTACATGATGATGGCAGTCGCATGAGCTTTTCTTTCACTCAGAGCTGTTTGACGAATGGCATTTTTACACAGAATGCTAACGTCACATTTGATTTCTGGATTGATGCAAAGTGCTTCTGTTTCATTATGAAAATTTCCAGTTACAATTTCCAGTAACCATCATTATAATCAGTAGTATTTAGAGCGAGTCTTTTAGCTGATTCGAGAACAATGTCATTTACAGCGCCTCCGCTGGTTTTTGCCTCCCCTGCCAAACGTGAGTAATGTTTAGGAGCGAGCCCTTTTCCAGGACACTGCCCCCGGCTGCAGAGGTCTGAGCACGTTTTCTGTCATGACACTGACACTGTGTCAAAGTCAAAGAAAAAATAGTATCTCCTGCAGGAGTTTTCTGATGGGAGGCATTTATTATAGCAACACAGTCTGTTTTGAAGGAGCTCCACATCTTCCTAAGATGAAAATGTATTACCAACTTTTGGTCCATTTTTATCTTCAAAGTAATCATCCACTTCAGGTTCAGAATAGTTGCATAGCAACAGGACTTGGAAACACACTTATTGCCCTTAGAGTTGTTCACTGTTATCAGCAGCTCTGAGCGCAGAGCTTTGTGTTTGATCGGGAGAAAGCATGTCCTATGTGCACATAATGTTACATCTGTGTAAAGGCTTTAGAGACGGTGGCTTTATGTGACTTCTCTCACAGCAGATATACAATCAACTCGAATAAGGATTTTGCACAGGTGATCCATAGAAATGTAGATTTAGGAAATGTGTTCAAATGTTTGTCCTCATCTTGACGTGGGATTGAGCCCTGTCCTGTGCCCTGTTTAGACACATTTGTGAAGCTGACCCTGCTGAACTCCATGGGCCATGAGATGTCCAAGTGTAAGACGTCCATCTGCCGTGGGCAGCCCAACCCCACCTACAAAGAGACATTCATCTTCCAGGTCGCTCTGTTCCAGCTCTCCGACGTCACGCTCATTCTGTCCGTCTACAACAAGCGCAGTATGAAGCGCAAAGAGATGATTGGCTGGATCTCTCTGGGGCTCAACAGCTCTGGAGAGGAAGAGCTCTCCCACTGGACTGAGATGAAGGAGTGTAAAGGACAGCAGGTGTGCCGCTGGCACAGTCTGCTGGAGCCCTAGTGACAGGTCAACTGTAACTGCCCTGCAGCCACAGGGCAACAAGGACCTGCTGCAGGAGACCAGGGGAGACCAGGGGAGACCAGGGGAGACCAGGGGACCATGGGAGACCAGGGGAGACCAGGAGACCAGGGGAGACCAGGGGAGACCAGGGGACCATGGGAGACCAGGAGACCATGGGAGACCATGGGAGACCAGGGTCAGCACGGGTGTGACAGGAGCACACATACTGTCACACACAAACAAACACATACACACACGCACAAACACACACATATGCACAAACAAACACACACGCACAAACACACACTTATGCACAAACAAACACACACGCACAAACACACACACCATCATCTCCACATGTGTGTATTGACCTTTTGGTCTCGTTGATGCATTTGCGTATGTTACACATCTCATGCAGACAACAACATCCAATGATTTCAACTTTGATACAAATACCGTTTTGGCAAATGTTACCAGAACAAATGAAAATTAGAAATGCTAATCAAATCTTCAGGGTAGTTGTTACTGAAATTAGTCAATCAAAACCTGTGAATAATGCACTAAACCAACAAAACAGAGGCAAGAATTGTATTTAATTTCTGGTTCTTGTAATCCAGAATACATTGCCAAAGTACATTTACAGAATTTATCTACGTTTATGTAATGGATTTTTTATCTTTCACTGAATATCGATCACTGAATGTGGCCCTACATGTTTTTAGAAAAGAGAGTAGAACAGGGAGTTCTCCTGTTGGTCGCATGTTTTCTGTGTGCTCTGAAGTCCAGCAAAGTCTAGTTTCTCGGATTACGTGACCACTTGATGCATACTAACGTCAAGTTATGCCCTTGGGAAGTTATGGTCTGAGTCTTACCTGAGTAATTCACACGGTGGTTGTTCTGTGTTAGCATTCATACCATTCATAAACGTTTCAATCATCTACTGTAATTACGGTTTGCATTAATTGAAAAGGTTATGCCTTAGTTATAGCCTGGCCTTAGCCATCCCGTTAACTACAATTTCCCTACATGTACTGTACGTCTGGGTCTGATCCTAGTGGCTGCAGTTTCCTCAGTTGAATCCCATCCGACCAATCACTGAGCAGGGGAGGCGGTGTTGTAGGTCGGTTTGGGACGTCAAGAGTTTGCACTATATTTGCTGGGTGTAGTTTGGATATGGCGGCAAATGTGATAGTAAAGTAATCTGTTCTGGTTTGGCTCCAAGTATCAAGAAATTTAAACCGGAGCGAGATTACAAGATTGCAAGTTTCAATCCTGCAAAGATGTTAGTGATAAAGAATATGGCTGAAGCTGGGCTAAATACTAAAGCTAGGCTAAATGCTAAAGCTAGGCTAAATGCCTCACTCATTCGGCCGCGTTACATACATCACGGTAAACTCAGATCCAATCGTTTCAATCTGCAAAAGGAGTTAACCCCTCCCACCTGTTAACAGAGCTCAATGGTGCAAATCCAGACCTTAGTACGAAATGAAATGAGTACAATGGTGTGGTAAGACCAAGCTACCTTAGTTTATAACCTGCCCCAACGTTGACAAATGCAGAGCACGTGTGTACTTTTACAACAAGCACAAACAAATCTTTGGATAATTCACAGGTTGATGAAGTACAAATTCTTACAGGCATTTTTTTTACATGACAATTCACTCATTTTCTCTTGAATGTGCCTGTAGACTATAAACCAGTGATCTGTTTACCAATTGTGTGTGCGTACAAACGTCATAAGCACCTTTTATATCGCTTTAGTCTTTCATATTTTTCTTTTAATGCCACGTGGCGTTTAGAAAAGCCACTTTTGATTGTCTGCTACATACTTTTTATACATGTTTCATATATATTTTTGTAATACAGATTTGTAACCCATAGCAATACGACCGAACTGACAGAGGTTACGAAGCAATGACACCCTTTATCAAACAGGACCAGCTCCACCAGTTCTTATGACAGCCCTTTTAAACCGTTCTCATTGTGACAGTCTCGCCATAGAAACAACTCCAGGTTTGTGTGAAGATGATCAAAAATCCTGCATTAATTAACATAAACTCACAGCATACACCAGTGCAGAAGGTGTGACTGATGTTAGAACTGCCACGTACGTTGCAATTACCTGGAACTGTCAAGGATTCGGTTATTAGTATTTCAAACATGTAAATCAGACGTTCACTCACACAAAAGTGATTGTGTTTTTGCTCAATATTGTTTTATTGTCGACCTAATTTCTGCAGCTGTAGACAACATCTTAGTTTGTTTACAACCTATGCCGCCGGTGGCATCGGTGCCTTACTGTTTTTTTTAAATGTCTTATGTACTGTATCTATAGGTTAAAAATCTCCCTCTGTAAACTATATTTATTTGTAAAGTCTTTATGATGAAAATTATTTATATGTGATGATATTGCTTATAAAAGACCAAAAACATATACGTTGTGTCTTTATTTATACAATTACTTCTTCATTAAGAGTGCTTTCCTTAAAGTCTGAGTGTCCTCTAGTCTATACTTCAGATAGACATTAGATTTAAGATTTTATACATTTATACAGCTCTGGGTGGACATCGGAGAAGACCCAGGACACTTTGGATGGATTAGTCTGCTGGTCTGGGAACGCCTCAGGATTTACCAGGATGAGCTGGAGCTATACACCTCTGTATGTACATGATACTCTCTCACTCCTCTGTATGTACATGATATTCTCTCACTCCTCTGTATGTACATGATATTCTCTCACTCCTCTGTATGTACATGATATTCTCTCACTCCTCTGTATGTACATGATATTCTCTCACTCCTCTGTATGTACATGATATTCTCTCACTCCTCTGTATGTACATGATATTCTCTCACTCCTCTGTATGTACATGATATTCTCACACTCTGTATGTACATGATATTCTCTCACTCCTCTGTATGTACATGATATTCTCTCACTCCTCTGTATGTACATGATATTCTCTCACTCCTCTGTATGTACATGATATTCTCTCACTCCTCTGTATGCACATGATATTCTCTCACTCCTCTGTATGTACATGATATTCTCTCACTCCTCTGTATGTACATGATATTCTCTCACTCCTCTGTATGTACATGATATTCTCTCACTCCTCTGTATGTACATGATATTCTCTCACTCCTCTGTATGTACATGATATTCTCTCACTCCTCTGTATGTACATGATATTCTCTCACTCTGTATGTACATGATATTCTCTCACTCCTCTGTATGTACATGATATTCTCTCACTCCTCTGTATGTACATGATATTCTCTCACTCCTCTGTATGTACATGATATTCTCTCACTCCTCTGTATGCACATGATATTCTCTCACTCCTCTGTATGTACATGATATTCTCTCACTCCTCTGTATGTACATGATATTCTCTCACTCCTCTGTATGTACATGATATTCTCTCACTCTGTATATGATATTCTCTCACTCCTCTGTATGTACATGATATTCTCTCACTCCTCTGCATGCACATGATATTCTCTCACTCCTCTGTATGTACATGATATTCTCTCACTCCTCTGTATGTACATGATATTCTCTCACTCCTCTGCATGTACATGATATTCTCTCACTCCTCTGCATGTACATGATATTCTCTCACTCCTCTGTATGTACATGATATTCTCTCACTCCTCTGCATGTACATGATATTCTCTCACTCCTCTGCATGTACATGATATTCTCTCACTCCTCTGTATGTACATTATATTCTTGAAGATAAAGATAGATAGATAAAGTTATTTACAGGTATTTGTAGGACAGACATATTATTGACGCCAAACGTCTGTCAGATTTAGATCAGTTTGTACGATTCTTTGAAGCTCATAGTGACAAGAACACAGCAGCTGGCCAGGTGTTGGTCAAAAACCAAACATATTGTAATACTTTGCTCAACAGCAGAAACCAACACGAGCATCTTTTGTCAATCAACATGTATTTTCGAATCACAACCAACAGGTGGAGCAAGTATTGTATTTACTTTGAGTGTTTTAGAAGCTGGAAGAGTGAATGGAGTAATTGCATATGAGGGATGCCAAGTGTGGCTGGAAGCACAGATTCCCTGAAGTGAATATTGGCAGAGAATGTCATTGGCTGTTATTCCACCATCTGCTGATGTGTAGTCATGCACTGAAAAGGTATGTGCTGTAAGTGGGTAAATTATGCAAAATGTAATATGTTGATCAGTCTATATAGGCCACTCTCTAGCTTGTATTAGACAACACTACTGCACTCTTATAGGCTACAATTGGATGAGCTTCTAAATATCTAAAGATGTAGTCCACAGAAAGCTCTTGGCAGACGTTTACAATCAGACAGATATTGTGCAGCACATTCCTTTGTTGAGCACAGGACAAAACGCTCAGGGGGGAGTGGAGCTGGAAAATAAGATTCAGTGGCTGCTGCTGAATCAAAGGGGAAATGCAGAACAGATGATCGGGGCTCGCTCCCTCCCTGCCTCCCTCCCTCCCCTCTTTTGTCGGTCACATCCCTGCAGAGCCAGATCTCCAACACAACTGGTCTAAAATAAGTGTGGAAACAAGAGGATGCGTCCAAGAGCAGTGGGATATTTCAGTTCAATGCATCCTGATGACACGGATTACATTTTTGTGGGTAGTCTTCGAGCTACAAATATTACTAGAATACTATAAGGCAGTTTATACACAAGTAACTACTACTACTACTACTACTACTACTACTACTACCTCTACTACAACAACTACTACTACAAATCTAATAGGAACTTTAATGATAACCTGCTACAAATGTGAAATAACGTGAAAAACGTTTTGACTGATTCATATTAATTCCATCACCAACATATATTTTCTATATAGTTTTACTCATTGCCATAATAGATAGATAGATAGATATATAGATAGATAGATAGATAGATACTTTATTGATCCCCGTAGGTGAAATTCAGGTGTCCAGTAGCAGCAGAAACACATCCATCCAAAGGAACAAAAATAAATAAATAGATCATTCTAAAAATAGCTAACAATAGTATTAAAATGCAACAGCACTTAAGGTCACAGCAGCTGAGGTAGTGTAGTCGCTGGGTGGGTACAGAGATACTTTTTTTTTCTAAATAAAAATGTTGACATAAAATATAGTAAACTATTGCACAGACCATAAATAACCCCACATCCATTATCCCCCACTACATATATCAGGGGAAATTACCATTACTACATTATGATTACTAAAAAAAATATATTATCTTTATATATTTAGTGTTATAGAAATCGTATTATTTGACAGTCTCTTGAATAAAACAAAAACTCATCAAGTAATACTGCTGCTAATTGTAATTCCCAATATACTCTTTTATATCATACCGCTATGGTCATTTATGACAAAAGCAGCCATTAATATTCAAATTCACGTCGTTTTTTTTCTATTATAACTAGTATTGTTATTGTAGTTATTCATATAATCTAGTTGCAATTATTATTTTTAAGCGACAACAAGTTGCAGTACTGTGAATTCCCGAGCCGCCATGAACGCCGCAGCAGTAGTTGGAGGACGTCGCTGCTCGCTGCTGTTGTTTTCTTCCTATCGCATTCATTTAAGTGTCAAAGGCGCCGTGTCGGAGCCCTGTGCACACACCAGACCTCCACCCCGGTGTCACTGGACTACTACCGATCAGAGAAGCACTTCCACCTGCCTGAGATCACCCCCCACACCGCCGGACACGACCCCAAAACACCAGCTCCACATGTTCACGGTCCCGGAGAGAGCGCGCGGGATGTGGATACTACTGCCAGGCACGCGGGAGACCTCCGTCATTACACCATTATCTGTTTAACGCCTAATTACATAGACACAAGTTCAATCTGCGACTGCTTTGACTCGCTTAAAACACAAGAAAAGACCCCCCTGAACTAGTCTTGTTTATTTACGATTTTTAATTTTTTTTGTTATTATAGTTTTCCTTTTCCCTTTCACTGATCCTATTGAAGACGTGGTCAAGACTATTCAAGTCAGGTAAGTGAGAAAAAAAATGCTGTTTAATTTAAATTAAATTATATACTAGTTTAAATAGGTATTGCAAATTATGTTTTATTTGTCTTGTTTGTCTGTATGTTTTAAATTGGACCTAGAGTCTATTAAAGTTGAATAGAAAATATAGAAAAAATCTAATCAGTCTATTTTTTGTTGATTCCTTTGTTGAACTGGCTGACCTAACTAGTCAAACGGTCTAGTAAATTGCTGCTATTACTGCTTATCATAAATAAATAACACCAATATAAACTCTAACCTTCATAGCGTTTTAGTTGGCCAGCTCAAGTTCTCCAGATGTGAAATAAGTTAAATGGGAAAGTAATTGTTGCTGCGGGTTTGATAGCTTGTAATACAAGGATTATTGGGCATAGCCTAGTCAATAGTCCTCTCCAGTGACATGACAGAGACCTTGTTCGAACACATTATGCAGGCTGACATAACCAGCCACCCTCTTGGCATCTGTCCAGCCTCTCTTCATTATTCTAGAGGAATGGCTCTCGGCTGCAAATTACCATGGCTTCTGAAAGCAAGAAGACTTAGCCGCTTTCCTCACGCCACACTTGTAATTCCTTCTCCTTGATGTCATTTTTTCTGTGGTTTCTTCGACTTAGTGTCACTGTATCTGCCCGGCTCGAAGTGGACCGCTAACACTCAGCTTTCAGCTTCCAGAGACGATTTTTTTTCTCTCTGTGTGTGAAATGAACTGTGCCAAGCTGTACATGGACACCCAACCAGCACTCTGAATCCCTTATTTATCTGGTAAGAGACACAGTGCGAAAGCTCAGAGCGGCTGGCAACATTGCTTTCACTGCCCAACAACATCCGGTGTCACTTGCCAGGAATTCCACCTTTGCTATTTATTTTCCTTAGAGGGATAAGAAGTGTGTAATGTGGAGTATGCAACAGGGAGGAACATCAGGAAAGCATTAAACTGACAAGAAGCACTCTTTCTCTCCCTGGTGCTGCTTTGTGGACCAGTTCTTGGCACCTAATCTTTAGCGTCCGATGCCAGATTTGATTTCTTTACCTCCTGCCAACCCCCCCTTTCCCTCGCCCTGCTCTTTATCAAAAGCACTTGCTGCATTTTGCTCTCTTTTCCTTCTCGGTCGCGCCACTATCAATCATATCACGCTCCCGACACACTCTTCTGCTCATTAGGAACTTGAACCTGTTGGTAGCAACCCCCCTCAGTCATTCATCTCCCACAGTGGGGGTGCACTCTCACATCTGGAGCGCCAGTTCAAAACGTAGATCTTATGGCGAGGCTGTAAGCAGATTCAATGCATTTTAAAAGGCATCAACGACAACAAGCAGCACGCCATAAGAGTGACACAACTTGAAGAGTGTTGTTCCTACGCACACATGTAATTATCTGCAATTTACCAACAGCGCTTAAAAGGTAGGTGGAAAAGAAAGAAATGCCATGACAGCAGTGTTGACAGTTAGTGAAATATAGGCCGGCTTCTGTCGCATTGCCTTTTGTCTGTTCTCTTTCTCTGCTGCATTTCTGTGAAAAGGTCTCGGGCCAAGACAAGTTGAGCGGTTTGACTGTTACTGCAGGGTGTAGCCCCAGACTTCTTTTTTTCCCCTGAGCAGTGGCAATACCGCGATCATGAATGCGCTTTTGTGCTAAAGAAAGACTGGGCTCTGAGGTGGGCAACCTGAGAAGCAGGCGGACACACATGGAAGGTGTAACATGGTTTTTTACAGACACCGCCTCACGGTTCACCTTAAAAAACACAGTGAAGTTTTGCTGTTGGCGCTTTGAACAGCTGCAACAGATGTGTTCACTTTGTCTTTTTGTGAAAACATCCTAAAAAAGTGTACGTAAAAAGCATCCTGTGCCAAAACCTGTGCGGAAAGTGGGTGAGAATTGATCGTCAAATAGTTTTTTTTTGGATCGGAAGTCATTTGTCATTCAAGACCCCATCATTGGCCTTTCCGTACAAATGTAAACTATTTCTCTTTTTCTCCCATAGCCAATAATATACATTTGTTTTAGTGTCTCAATAGTGGACATTTGCAATTCAAAATAAAGTGAAATTGCTTTTTCTCATTCAAATAACTACATTCATTATTGGTTAACTACAAAAGTACCTGAATTATGATCAGAACTCTGACCCAAACTGCACTGATAAGATCGCAGGAGCTCATGCCATTACAAACATTTATACATAGAACTATTTGCTGACCGCGTAAAAAACTTGGATAAGCGTCAAAACTCACTCTCAAATCTCAAAATAACTCTTGAAAACCTTTTCTTTTCTGTTACGTCCCTTTCAAAAACCCATTAATCAATCCGTATTCTTCCCCTTGATCCGGGGCCGGGTTGCAGTGGCAGCAGTCTGAGTCTACCATGACCTGAGACTATTCTATCCATAGAAACCCGTCTTTATGGTGTCACCCTCTCTGTGCTCCCTGTAAACCAGTGTCCTCCAAACTTTTTGAGCCATAGCAATTTAACACTATCTCATGGCACACCACCAGCAGAAACTGATACAAACTGGTGTTTCTCTGTAGCCTTTACTAACAAAACAAAGTCATTCTCATCAAAATGTTGTTTGATAATCTGTAATTGTTGGTAACTGTATCTAAATTTTGTCCAGGAATCCCTTGAAAAAAAACTCTGACTGACTCATTGACTGCCAGCCGTTTTTTATTTTCAAGACCCACAGAAAATTGTATGCTATGATTTATTATGTGAAATGTAGATTCTGAAAGACTGGACTATCTACTTTCATCAGCAAAAAATACATTTGTTTCGAGCTAGTTTTGTCAAATAGAGGGAAAATTGACAGAAATCACCATTCTCAGGCAAAGGGCAGTCAATGAGTTAATATCAATGGGACTTTCCTGGTTAAATGAAGGTTAAGTAAAAAAAAAAAGTGTATTATGCAAAATATCAGAAGTATTTCTAATCTTCTAATTTTCACATTCTCACATTATTTTACCTAAATTGATATCGGATCATTTCCCAAGGCACACTAAATAACATCTCAAGGCACACAAACGTTCCCCGGCACACTGGTTAAAAATCACTGTAAACAACCGTCGCTGTAATGACATGCTCCGCTATGGACGCCCTGTGCTTCAAACACGTCCCCTGTGGAACCGGACCATTGACTTACACACAGAGCCATGGCCTGCCCGCCCTCGCAGCCCAAACAAGCTGTCCTCAGATTGTAGCTAATGCAGCCTCCCTGTCACAGCACATGTGTCAGCGTTCAGACTCCCGAGGCCCCTGAACTCGGTGCAGTCACGCCACCGCCGCCGCCATAATGATCCTCCGCCCAACACACGCGGGCCGCACTGATCACTGCTGACAGGCTGCGAGCTGCCACTAACACAATGTGAGACGCAGCGGCACAGCAACACACTTGTGCGTCACGCTGGAAGTGGCTATTTTTGACCAATACATAAGACACAGACTACTTTCTAATGTCGTCACTGTCATTTTACCCTGCTTTCAGAACACTCGTCAAATAGGGATAATAAGTAATCTTTATTTTTATAGCGCCTTTCACAGACCAGCGTCACAAAGCGCTTTACAATTGTTGGCATTTGTCCTCTCATTTTCGCACAGAGATGGGAGTCAGAGGACAAATAATAATACAAGTAATAATAATCGCAAGCAGATCGCGAGTAAAGCGAAATCCCAATTTTTTTGTCAAATTGCAAGGACTGCATTTATTGAAGGTTGTTGCAAACAAGAATATGACTAAAAAAGGTCAAAACATCACTTACTTTCGTGAAAATATGTCTTGATTTAAGCAGATTTGGAAGATTTGTCAATAGTATCTTTCGTCTTGTTGTCAGGCAGAAGCATTCTCTCATTCCAAAGAAGACTTCTCCATAATTTATACTTAAGCCGAAACTGTCACAATGTGTTAAACAACTCAGGTCTGTCTATAAGAATCGTAGTGAGAAAAGATTAAAACTACTTCATTCAAGAGTTTGTATTTAACATTTCTGAAATGAATCCCCCATAAAGTCACTCTTTATATAACATAGAAGCTATTGTTAAACGTATCACAAAATGTCCGAAATATCACAATTAGATTTTTTTGCCAACTCTCTGCTGCCTTGATGTCAGATATATCAAAAAATAATATACAAACAGATTCAGAATGAAATCCCAAATATATGAATGACCAAAATAACACATGACTGTTCGCAAACAACATTTCTTCAACTTAAACGTTACACCCAATGAACAAGCGGTCTATTCATGTCTCAAAAAGCGCTCTTTATTCCCAATATCTGTCAATATTTTGGCAGTTTTAAGAGGACACATGATACACAAGTACTTTAAATATGACATAAATGGATCATATTTGGACATTTTGTTTGTACATAGTGAACCACATTATGAATCTAAAACGGTTTAATAATAGAAAAGACAAAACACTAGTAATCTGAGTACTATAATATGTCCATACTGTGCTACCAAGGCAAGACATTTTGTATCACTTGGAATATGCATTTTTCTATTCATTGGATTTCGCTTGAGAATTCTGAAAGTTCAATACTGAATTATAAAACAACCGGATTACTCAAATATGCACAGTGGAATTGCGATACAACTTTGAGCAAACACAAAATAAAGGGGGAGACTAAAACGTCGTGATTTTTTAAAATAATATTCCTCGGTACAGAAACTCCACCCTGCTTCGCGCTCATGTTTCTTTCTTCTTTTCTAACTGTTCTCGAACAGTCGTGGTCCTGCTGCTTTTCTCTGGCAGTCGTGGATCCAACAGCCCACGGGAGCATCTGTTTTTGTGATAACCTTCTGGTGTGTGTCCAAGGCACTGTCTGAACTCTGGAATATTTGAATGTACTTTTTTGATTAACAACAACCACAAGCGGTCACTAAAAGAACAAATTATTAATGAGTAGAAAGACACAAAGGCCTGTGTCTCATTAAACATAGAACATTTGATCCTAATTGATCCAAGTCGTCTTCTGTTAACCAATAGCTGTTA